ATCAGTGTCTCCTGGGCCAGCTGCTCCCAGCCCCACGGCCCTGTCTGCAATCACTCCGCACCACAGCTCATTGCAGGCTGAGCCAGGACGGGCAGGGCTGCAACATCCCCCGTTACTCGGCTGACACGCGAGGTGGATGCAGCTGTGGACATGGGCGCTCACGTGTGGGCCTCAGCCCAGCTCATCACTGTCTGTCGGCTCCGTCCCTTGAGGCAGCCGGGCCGGCACTTTTAGGGGCAGGGAACCCGTTTCCACGCACTCTCGCCAGCCTGTCCCGTGCCAGCGCCCCTGGTATCTGCACTTGGGAGGGAGCTCCTGCTAATGCCAGCTTGGGCCGTTTTCAGCGTCTGACACCACAGGCCTGATGCTCTTCAGGTCTCTCTGCTCCCAGCATCTTTTTTTTGTGTTTTTCTTGTTGTTTGTTTTTTTACGGCGCGCCCCGAGCTGCGCCCCAGCTGTGCTCCCCACAACCGCACCCGGTGCCCTGCTCACCTCCAGGCCCGGCCCCTGCCCCCCCGGGCAAGTCCTCTGCAGCTCCAGCTTCACAGGCTCTGCTCCAGGAGGTTTCTGCTCAGCGCTGCTCGGGGTCCCAGCACCTGCGGGCGGGGAAGAGCGCACAGGGCAGCGCTGGGGCTGCGGGCACGGGGAAAGCCCTGCTCATCTCCTGCACCGGCCTGGCACTAAGGCAGACGGAGGCTGCGGTGTGTGGGACACGGGGGAGAAGGGAGACTCCACGTCCCACAGCTCTTGCTCAGGGCACGAGGCTGGAGATGAGCATTGTGATGGGCAAGTTTGTTATTACCCTGAAATAAAATAGTTTTCTGAGAGCATACTGTTTGGTTAACAATGATTTAGATTATTGAAAAGTATTAGATTTGCAGCTGAATACAAGGCATGACCTGTGGCCTAGCAACACTGCTGACCACAAGGCAGAATAATAGCGAAGCCAGCCATTTACTTATGTTAAGTAACCATTTTAACTGCGTTAACCATTTTCTGAGTGAAAGGCAGCAAGTGAATCTGTGTACGTCTGTGCGCTGTGAACCAGCGACAGCAAGGAACGAGGCAAGATAAAGGGAGGGAGGTTGGCAAAACTCAAAACAGAAAAACAGATCGTAATGTGGAAGATAACACGTAACTGTTACCTAACTGGTGGCCAGGGTGGGACGGGGCAGAGCTGGGGGGTCAGAGCCCCATGGTGCAAGCCCTGGTGGTTTCATGGCCAGGATGTGGTGCTTGAAGATTTGTGAAGCGCCGCCCCAAGTATTGCTTTTGTTAACCCTGTAGTCTTGCCTTGTTGTAAGAAGTATAGACGATCGCCCCACCCTTTAGGGGGGTCATTTTGCCTCTCTGCTGGCTTACGGTCATTGCTCGAGCAAATAAACTGCAGTCAATTCTTGACCCGTGTTGCCTGGTTCCTACGCGGCTAGGCCGCGCGCTCCAGGGAGTTTTCTCCCACGACAGCACTAACCGGCGTGCTGCAGACCAGGCTGGAGCTGTGTCAGGGCAAGGCAGGGGAAACGCAAGGGCAGTGCTCTCCAGGGCAGGGACATGCTTCCAGGCCCGCGGGGAGAACAGGCGCTGCTGCGCCGCGGGAGCAACATGCTCTGCCAGGGATTTGTGCGCGGAGGGACGGTGCCTCCTGCTCCCGCCCCGCCCCGCCGCTCGCTCGCTCCCTCCCTCCCTGCACTGGGAAGGGCCAACGTGGGGCGCCGGCCCCCGCACCGTTTGTCTGCCCACAGCGCCCCGGCCTGCTCGGGCGCGGGGGAACCAGAACACCCTGGACTGAGAAAGGACCCACATTTGACCCTCACACCTTGGACCACTCAGCCACCCTTACAGAGCACCACTCCCTGCCCTCGTCTTGCCTTGAATTGTCCTAATTGCCACAAGTCGGGGTTGGATTCCCCATTGTCTCTGCTCTGAACCCCAGAGCCTTTTCCTTCCCAGCAGGCATCAAACACAAAGGAAAAGGAGACTATTCAGGGAGGCACTGAGGTCCCGGAGGGGAGGGGAGTTGGGAGTCCAAGAAGAGTGGTCATTCCTGAAGGAGATGATTCTCCAAGCCCAAAGCGTGACAATCCCCATGCAGATCAAAGGGGGCAAGAGTGCTCAAAATCCCCCATGGCTCACCAAAAGCATCCACAAATGCCTCAAAGCCAAAAAGGAGGTGTACACCCAATGGAAGGGAGGGGCGATCACCAAGGAGGACTACACCTCCTTGGCTCGAGATTGTAGGGGGGCTATTAGGAAGGCAAAGGCGGAGATGGAACTGGGATTAGCTACCTGGATCAAAGATAACAAGAAATCCTTTTTTAAATACATAGCGGGTAAAAAGAAGGTAACGTGGGGCCTCTGCAGGACATGCTTGGTCATCTGGTGGTAGCACCAGGCGACAAAGCCAATCTGTTTAACAGCTTCTTTGCTTCCATTTTTTTGAGCAGGGACTGGGTCACCCCGCCCCCCCACTGGGATACTGGACAGACCCAGGGGACACACAGCCAGGCCCAGGGTCAGTGAGGACCTAGTTAGGGAACTTCTGGAGGGACTAGATGTGTTCAAATCAGCAGGTCCTGACGATCTCCACCCCAGGGTGCTGAGGGAATTAGCAGAGGTCATTGCGGGACCCCTGGCACGGCTTTACGAGCACTCGTGGTGCTCTGGTGCGGTGCCAGAGGACTGGAAAAGGGCCAGTGTGGTTCCCATTTTCAAAAAAGGGAAGAAAGAGGACCCAGGAAACTACAGGCCTGTTAGTCTTACCTCGGTCCTGGGGAAGCTCTTTGAGAAGATTATCCAGGAGCACATCTGCGAGGAACCAGCAGGAGAGATCATGCTTAGGGGCAACCAACACGGGTTCATTAGCGGCAGGTCCTGTCAGACCAACTTGGTGCCTTCTATGACCAGGTCACAAAAGGCTTGGACGCAGGTGTCACAGTGGATGTAGTCTTCCTGGATTTTAGGAAGGCCTTCAACACTGTCTCTTGCCCCATCCTCGTTAAAAAATTAGGCGTCTGTGGTGTCGATTCCTACACAGTCAGATGGGCCACTAATTGTCTGGAGGGCCGCACCCAGAGAGTGGTGGTGGACGGGTCATTTTCAACCTGGGGAAATGTGGGCAGTGGGGTCCCCCAGGGCTCGGTCCTCAGACCCGCGCTGTTCAACATCTTCATCGGAGACTTAGACAAGCAGGTGAAAAGCACCTTGTTCAAGTTCGCAGATGGCACTAAGATGTGGGGGGAAGTGGGCACGCTAGAAGGGAGGGACAGGCTGCAATGGGACCTAGACAGGTTACAGGGGTGGGCACAGCCCTGCCGTGATGCTATTCTTGTGCTCCTGGGAGATGGCGCCTGTGGCCAGGGTGGGACGGGGCAGAGCTGGGGGCTCAGAGCCCCATGGTGCAGGCCCTGGTGGTTTCATGGCCAGGACGTGGTGCTCTCACTGCTGTGGCCTGGGTGTGTTTCGGGGCTAGACAAAGCAGGTTTTGATCGCCGCACTTCAGGAGGGATGTGGACAGCATGGAGAGGGTCCAGAGGAGGCCACCCGCATGGTCAGGGGGCAGCAGGGCAGGCCCTACGAGGAGAGGCTGAGGGACCTGAACCTGTTCAGCCTCCACAAGAGAAGGCTGAGGGGGGATCTGGTGGCTGTCTATAAACTGGCCAAAGGGGACCAGCAGGCAATGGGAGAGTCCCTGCTCCCCCGAGCACTACTGGGGGTAACAAGGAATAACGGCCATAAGTTGACTGAGAGTAGATTCAGACTAGACATCAGGAGGCACTACTTCACAGTCAGGATGGCTAGGATCTGGAACCAACTTCCAAGAGAAGTGGTGCTGGCTCCTA